ATCTTTTCCATCTCTTTCTATATCTTTCACAAGTCCAAATTTCTGCATCCATCTCACTTTCCTTGTCTTTTCATGCCTGTATTTTTCTTTTTGATTCCCTGTTCTTGGCGTCACTGTGGTTTTTGTTTTCTCATTTTCACTATGATTTTTGTCCTGCCTTTATCTCTCCTGTTTTCTCTCTTTTCGTCTACCACTGAACCACTCCTCTCCTCCCACTTGGGGGAGGCGGGGATAAACCTCCAAATCGCCTTCCTTTCTTCATGTCCTTGCCTCTGCTCCTTTTCCTCGCCTATCCTCTAGTCTTCCTGTTTCAGTGGGAACCTTTTTCTTAAGTTCCCTAGTTTTCCGGCCGAGGCCAGACAGCTAAAACACCCCCGCCGCCGCCTCGGGGAGTAAAGAGTAACGAGTAACATCCGGTAATGCGTTTCACTTCATTTCCGCCCTATACCTGCGTCTCGCCTTGCGCTGTTTCCGTCAACCTAGAGTGTCTCCGCCCTCCTGCCTTCTTCCCTCCGAGCGTCCTACACACACAAGCCTCGGGCCTACTACTCCGAGGGTATTCCGGGGGACAGGGAGCAGGTCTGATGAGTAACACCTCCTCCCAGGTTCTAGGGGAAGCCTCTACAACTGTCCGAAAGGGTACATTATATTCGATTTCTAGATTATTGAAATTATCCATGACATTTTTAATTTCAGATTTCTGTTGATAAAAATTTCCCGTGTCAGTCTCTATTCGTCTTTTTCAAAGTCCTTTATTTAAAATTCACCTGGGTTAATGAGCTGCACAGTAATCATTTCTTTTCCAAAATGTTACATTAAAATATCAAATATATGACCCCAGATCCCCTCGAATATTCTTTCAAACCTATCTGGTAAGGAATGAGGGTTAGGACAGGTCTCATTTCTTGCTAAAGATGAAATGGGAACCGAAAGGGGGAACAGAGGGAATGCCAGGGATAGAGGAAGAGGTACTGGCCAAGGCTGGTGTCCTGACTTGATACTTTTTTTTCCTTCCACAGACCAAGAGTTCAATGGCTTCCACTTCCCGCCGCCAACGCCGAGAGCATCGTTTCCGCCGTTACTTGTCTTCAGGTCGGCTAGTTCGGGCCCAGGCCCTCTTCCAACGACACCCAGGCCTTGATGTAGATGCCGGGCAACCCCCTACACTGCACCGTGCCTGTGCGCGCCACGATGCTCCGGCCTTGTGCCTGCTTCTTCGGCTCGGAGCTGACCCTGCCCACCAGGACCGCCATGGGGACACAGCGCTGCACGCTGCTGCCCGCCAGGGCCCTGATGGTGAGTCTGCCAGGTGGGGAACAAGGCCATCAGCAACTAACTGGGTCTGAGATGAAAGCCAGCAGTTGAAAAATAAGCTAGTCTTTTGGTCATGGGACTTAAGGAGGTAGTTGACCAAGTTAGCTATCACTTAATGTCATTACATCATTGAACTACCATTGTTTGAAGAGCCCAGCATTCCCAAAACAGCAACTGATTTTCAAATTTTACACCTTTCGAGATTAGTAGCTACTTGGTCTCTGGACTGGTTGTTTGCCTGTTGTGCAAAAAAGTAGCATAGAGGGTAGGTCCTGGAGTTAGATTGTCTGGGTTCAAATCTCAGCTCCACACTTAATAGCTGGGTATTCTTGGGCAAGTTACCAAACTTCCCTCAGGCTTAGTTTGCCCATGTGCAAAATTAAATAATAACAGTCCTTGCTATGTGCTAGGCACTTCTCACAAAGTAATTCATTTGATCCTCACAACAGCTCTATAAGGTTACAAGTACTGATGTTATCCCCATTTCTCAGGTCAGGAAACAGCACAGAGAAGTAATTTGCCAAAGTGGTAGAGCAGGGAGCATAACCTACGCACTCTAGCTAGAGCACCCATGCTCTTAGCAAGTGTGTTATCCTGTGTAATACATTGTAGAAATATATGGTGATAGTGCTTGTGTTTAAAACACCCATGCTCTGATATATGTTTTAAGAATCAACTGAAAAAGTACATAAAGCCCTTGGCACATGAAAGTAGATGCTAGCCATTGTTGTTCCTGTTGTTATCAACAGATCGTACTCTTACTCACAATTCTGACACTCAAAAATAACTCTGAGAACCAAACCTAAGTAGATGCTAGCCATTGTTGTTCCTGTTGTTATCAACAGATCGTACTCTTACTCACAATTCTGAAACTCAAAAATACTCTGAGAACCAAACCTTTTTTATCAGCTTGCCACCAAACTTATTTGGTGTCTAAACCTAACCTGAACTAAAGTGAGGCTATCTATGTTTAGTTTTACCCCACTAATGTCAATATTTAGACAGTTCATTGCAGGAACATTCATGTGTTTGATTACTAGGGCTGCTCAGGCCCTGCTGAGCTACCTAATATAAAGTGTATGTACTTTCAGATCAGTTCTAGCAAATCTCAAAACATCTGAATTCTGAAAAACCTTCGATACCGAGGGTTTTAGATGGTGACCTGTTGATACTATAGTAGCAACGGAGGCAGCTCTGTAGAGGAAAATAAAAGGTGAAACCCTCCTTTCCCTTCTGGAGATTTTCCTTCTAGAGTAAGAACATAAGAGGAGAACCTCTAGGTTGGAATGAATAACCTCTATTTAATTTGATTGCTAGTATCACCATCCCCCAGCTCCCCAACTATATATAGGAAGCCACTAGCAAAGCCTCCTCCATGTAGTAAAAAAAAATCCCCTTTTCTTTAATTCCCTTTAACATAAATGAGATAGCCTGGCATACTTGGATTTTTTTAACTTAAAAACAAAGAGGAAGTTTACAAAGTGCAGGCATCTAACTTAACAGTTGATATTGTAGGTAGCAAGAGCAGAGAACCCTGAAGCAGAACTTAGATCTCATCTAAGTTCCAGCTCCACCTATAGGCTGTATGACAATGACATGCAACTTACCTTCTGTGGTCCTAATTTGCCTCTCTAAAATGGAGGTCGTGACGAGTAAATAAGGCAAACAGTTGGTGCAGTTTGGCACAACTAGATGATAAGTAGTGTTATTTTTATCCTTATATTACTCAATTAATGCTATCTGAATAGTAAAACTGTCCCTCATAGTATAGTAAGTGCTTCCTTCATTGCACTGAATTCTAAGGAGCCTGCAAGATTGAAATCTCATTTGAGGATCTGCACTCAGGTCACTCCCAAGCCCTGTTGTCTTTTTAGGCCTTTACTTCCTCCTGGTCCCTGCCAGCCCTGCCACCAGGTGGCCTTCTGACTCCTTATTAAAAAGGCCCATCTTACTTAGTTTCTAGCTGCTTTAGAAACCACTGTGCCTTAAAATGCAAATATTTTCTTTGAACAGATGACCTAGGACCCCCTGAGAAGAGCGCATTCCCCTCAGCTCCCAGGTTAGGCCTAAGAAATTTGCCGGTTATCTAGGCTGGGTTGTCACCCGCAGTGAGATGAATGACCCCTACATTTAGACTTTCGGTAACTTCTCTTTGGACCCATCGCTTCATGAGGAAGTACTCTTAGCTTTTCGAGACCCCCGTATAAGCATACTTTAGTCAAAGAATAACCATTCTCTGCGCACAGCAAGAAGAAGTGAACACTGAGAAATGGGGTCATTTTCTCACAGTCTTTTCAAAAAAAAGTAAAGTCCGAAGCCAGCCTGGTATTTTTTTTAATGTAACATTCACTCCTCTTCTGCTCTGTGCACAGTACCAGACATTTACTATCCATCACCCACTTTGATCTGCACAGTAAAAGTAGGATATGGCCCTGTTTGACAGGTGACTAAGCCACCCAGCCTATGTTCCATTTGCTTTTCCAGCTTCACCTCCCACAGCACACCTACAGACCTGTGACTCCAGCTATGTGGCTCTGTCTTCAGTGACCCCCAGCATGTTTTTCACAGGCCCGCCTGTCTCTTGCCTATGGCCTTCCCTTACCCCGATTTCCGCTTTGCTAAGTTATCCTGCCTCCCCAGTCCAACTAAGCCCCACCTTTTCCTGAAAGCTTTCTCTGACCACCCTGCCCACTCTTACCTTCTCTTCCTCTGCACCTGCTTCTGTCAACTGTCATTCAATATAAGCTTCTAATATTGGCGTTTTTAACAAGTATTGTGTACCAGTTAGTCCCCTTAAGGTAGAAATCATATTTCGTTATGGGAAGAGGAAAAGCAGTGCTTTCATCATAAAACAAATATGTTTTATTCTACGAAAATTTTTCATATTTATTTTTCCTAATATAAGTACAATACACCTACTAAAGAACATTGGGAAAAGTTGATCTATACTGCTAAGTTAAAGTTGGCATTTCAAATCACTGGAGGACGGTGAACTATTTAATAAACAATTTCAAAACATTTGGTTCACCCAGGGAAAAATAGAGTCCTCCCTCACATCAAACTTAAAAGAAAATTACTACAGATTAAACACCTAAATGTGACAGGAAGGGTACATACCAAATTAATGGGAAGGGTTCCCTTTGGGAGAATAAAACTTGGAAGGCAGTATCAAAGAAAACTTTAGCTTTATGTATGATGGTTTTATTTCTTTAAAATAAAATGATGTAAAAATTATATTAACATACCTTGTGGTAGGAATAGGGGTGCTTATTATACTTTAGTTTGTACTTTTTTGAGTTTTTTAGATTTCTAAAAATAAAAATATAGTACAAAAAAATACAAGAGAATATTTTTATAATCTTAGAGTGGAGAAAGCCTTCCTAAAAAATAAAGTAAAACTAAAATCTATTGATACAGGTTTAACTACATAAAAACTTTTTAAATAAGAGAAAGTACTGTAAATGTAACAGACATAAAAGGTTAATATCTATACTATGTAAAGAGCTTTCATATCTACATATATAATTTCTAAGGAGATAGTAGACAACATGAACAAGTCATTCCCAAGAAACACAAAAAGCCAAAAAGCATATGAAAAGAAAATTTTCTAATTAAAATTATTTTTTAACCTATAAGATGGGCAAAATTAAAAGGTTAATGAGACTCAATTTTGGTAAAGGACGACACAAGACACTCATAATTCTCGGTAGGAATGTACATTGGCACAAACTTGAGAGCAATTTGGCAAATCTCACATGTTCTTTGACCCAAAATCAGACTTCTGAGAATCTACCCCACAGAAATACTGTAAACAGTCCACAAAGATGTATGTTTGAAACTGAACATTTTTGGAAAAAAAAGTCTGTTGTTTGAGGATAGGGTGATTTGTTTGTTTCATACACACAATGGAACACTCCACAGTCATAAAATGAGGTAGACTATACTCCTGTGGAAAAATAGAAATGAGATGTTAAGTAAAAAAAGCAAGTTGCCAAATAGTACATGTATTATGGTCACATATCTCTGAAAACAACTGTCATACGTATATTTCCTTCCAGTCTTTTTTTCAGCCATAGGATTTGGTCTCTTTTTGTACACACACACAATTACAATCAAATCCCATGTAGTTTTATAGCCAGCTTTTTATATATGCAAATATTTTTAATGGTTATTTAATATTCTGTATCATATTTTATTATGTTTTATAGTTGGAGGCCTTACTCCTTAAAACCTGTGAACTTAAAAACTTCCCATGCAAGCCTGAGCACCCACCTACCCTCACACCCGCCATCCCTGGTAGGGAGTAAGCACTTGAAAGACAGGACCAGTTGCTTGCTGGGTGGGACAAGTTGGGAGAGCTTGTGACAGGTCACATTAGTACTAAAGAGAAATGCCCCCTCTCCTCATCCTGATGTGGTTTGGGTTGAGTGGCACTCAAGTGTGCCAGGAGATGGATGGAGGCAGTGAGCCTTGGCTAGCCAAGGCCAGGCCCATTCTGTCTTCCTGCCTTCCTGGCAATGACAGGATAACCCTTCCCCTGTCCCATCCTTTCCCCAGATAGCCAGTACTTTCTAGTACTACAATAAAGATTTAAAGACTGCTGGCCATTTACTCCTACCTTAGGGAGAGAAAGTAGGTCTACAGGAAGAGAGGGTGCCTCAGTCACCTTCCTCTGTCCTAAGAGTGAAAGAGGTAGTCGGCAGCCTTGGTGGCCTTGGCAGGTAGACATGGCCAGGAGTAAGGTACCTGGGTTGATAGTGAAGTGAGCAGCATGACACTCAGCTGACACTGGAGCAGATGCCATGAGGTCAGGGCACATGAAGAGGGGAGTTCAGGAATGGCAGTTCCTCTTTTCTCCCCCAGCCCCTTGTCAGCCAGCACCTGGGTAGGACCCTCTAGCTCAGCCTCTCTCTCCTCCCTTAAGTCAGCAGTCATCTGGAAAGAGCTTGCTCTGCTGCTGGGAACATTTCTATGTCTCAAATTCATTGCCAATCTGGACCCTCTCCCACCCCATGCCCTTCCCAGTATGCGCTGGGTAAGACTGACTGAGGGAAATTCCCTTGAAAAATTAATTTTATGCAGTTTATTAAAAAGTTATACAAAAAGATTATTATATATTTATATATTTATAATGGTATAGAGTAGAATGTCCAGGTATTTTACCAGTCCGAAGTATAGTTTTGAGTGAGAAACACAATTAAGAGGAATAAAGTGACAATATCTTCAAGCCAAAAATGGAATACGTAGTGAGGTTTTTGACATTGCCCTGGGTGGCTGGCGGCAGGCTGGAAAATGTCATTTGACATTGTATAACTCCCAGGACACTCAAATAATTTGTGGGGACACAGGTCAGAATATTTTAAACTACTACGCTTATGTGGTAAACTATGAATATTTGTCAGTGACTGTTATTTCCTAATACCCAAAAGGCATCCATGTGGGCAGCCCTTTCCTTTGCTCTAAGACCGAGGGAGTGAGTGACCAGCAGGGTTCAAGATGGCACCCTCCAAAGGAGTGGGAGCCCCAGCTAACTTCTGCTCACTGCTCTCCCACCAACAGCCTACACGGACTTCTTCCTACCACTGCTGAGTCGCTGTCCTTCTGCTATGGGAATAAAGAATAAGGATGGGGAGACCCCTGGGCAAATTCTGGGCTGGGGACCCCCCCGGGATTCCACTGAAGAGGAGGAAGAAGATGAGGCCTTCAGGGAGCGTGAATGGAGGCAGAAGCTTCAGGGAGAGCTAGAGGACGAATGGCAGGAGGTCATTGGGAGGTTTGAAGGTGAGAAATCCATTACCATCCACAGCTGCCCTCCTTCCCTTTAAGCCGCTTTTTCTACACGGACCACATGAATGCTCCTACTGGCCTCTTACGCCCCCTTCCTCTATACTGCCCTACTTCTCTTGCCCCATCACCTTCTCACAGCCTCTCTCCGACTACCCCCATCCTGCCTTCCGAAATAGATGACGCTTCGCTTGAGGCCCAGGAACCAGAGTCCTTCTCAGCCTGGTCAGATCGCCTGGCCTGGGAACATGCCCAGAAGCAGCAGCAGCAGCAGCAGCAGCAGCGTGAAGCAAAGGGAACCTGCCGACCCCCACGGGCTGAGGGCTCCAGTCACAGCTGGTGGCAACAGGAGGAGCAGCGGATCTTCCGAGAGCGAGCCAGGGCCAAGGCGGAAGATCTGTGTGAGAGCCGGGCCAGGAGGGAGCAGGATGCTCACCGGGACCAAGGGCTGAAGCCAGCCAGGGCTGGGTCTGGGGTAGAGCACCCCAGCGGAGGAGGGAGAGGCAGCCTCTGGCGCTTTGGAGATGTCCCTTGGCCCTGCCCTGGGGGAGGGGACCCAGAGGCCATGGCTGCAGCCTTGATGGCCAGGGGGCCCCCCTTGGAGGAGCAGGGAGCTCTGAGGAGATACTTGAGGATCCAGCAGGTTCGCTGGCACCCTGACCGATTCCTACAGCGATTCCGAAGCCAGATTGAGACTTGGGAGCTGGGCCGTGTGATGGGAGCTGTGACAGCCCTTTCTCAGGCCCTGAATCGGCACGCGGAGGCCTTTTTTGAAAGAGTGAAAAACTGCAGGGATTGCAGCCTTAGGGCCAGGGCAGTAGAAAGGGTATGGTCAAAGATGGGGATGATGAGGAAGAGGCCAATGCTGCATGGCAGAGGATATGGGGTGGGAGCGAAACTCGTGATAAGCGGGGGTGGAGAGGATACCGCTACCACCACTGTTCTTCAGCTCTGCCATTTCCTAATAAGACCTGGTTCCACATCTCACTCCCGGTGTCTCTGCCTTTTTCCATTGCTGTGGTTTTCACCACCCATGACATCTCCTTTCCCGCCCTGCCTGCCAAAACCCACAGCTCCTACCCACCTGTGACATGCACATACACACACTAATGCGTGCCCTCAGCTGGAGACAAAGAGCCCCCTGCTTGCCCATGAAGGTCTTCAAGTCTCACTCCACTCCCTACGCTGGGCTCCCCTCCACAATCAGCGGCTGAAGAAATAGATGTGAACAAAAGCAAAAAAAGGGAACAAAACCAGTTTCCTTCCCCTCCCCAGCTCCCCAGCCAGAACCACATCCTCCTCCCCACTTAACACCCCCTTCCCCGAACACAGGGCTTTCCCTTTGCTGAGTCACTGAATGGTCCGATTTGGGGGCAGCTGGAGCTGGAGGACCATAGGAGGCTGTGAGAAGTCAGAGGGATAGAACCAGAATGGTCGGAGGAAGAGCCCTATAGGGGAGTAGAATTTCAGTTGCTAAAATTAGGAGTAGGGGAAGTAGGCGGAAAGAGCCAAATTATGTAACCTGGGTTGTCTGTTCTTGGGCAACCAGGGACCCACCCCCGAGGCCATCTCTCTCCTCCGGCTTCTCAGTCCCATGTCTCCTCCAGGGCTCTGAGAAATAGAGTGAAGAAAAAAAATGGAGTCACTGTAGTCAAGCTACTAAACTACTAAAAATCAAGTAGGTTGAGGTACGAGGACACGATTCTATCTTGTTTTAACTAGCCTGGGAATTTAAACTTTCGAATCTAGTCCTGCATCAATGCCTAGGCATACATCAAGACCTCCAGATAACCCTCTGATGATCCCTGAAGGACTCATGTATATTAACCTGACATCCATTATCAAGACCACCGATAAAACTAGACCTGGTGCTCATCTTCCAGATTACCTGGCATCCATCATCCAGACTGACATCTCATTGATAACCTTCCTGGGCCAATCCAGAGGCTAAGAATGTAGAACTAATAATTCTCAAGAATGTACTTTTTAGTAAAAGAACTCTTAACTTTTCTTTCTTCTTTGGAACACTTCTAGATTTTTACCTGGTTAAGTTTCAAGTTTGTAAACCCTAAGACCCTTGAATAAAGCTATCGTTTATTTCTAGCCAGAACTTCCAGACTTTTCAAGTTCATTCAACAGCCCCAATTCTTGGCTCCCTTCATACAGCTTCTGCCCAAACCTGAGTTTTATCTCTGGGCAGCCAGGCCTGCCCTTCCAGATAAACATCTCCTTTTCCTTAGATTGAGGAAAAGGTCTTGAGGGATGGAGGGAGAGGGTCTGGGATTCCCACAGAGGAGAGAAGGGCACCATCTCTCCCACTATTCGTACTCAGTTCTCACTCCAGCGCCCCGGACTGGAATAGGCAGTTTTAGACAATACCAAACCCCACTGCCATCCCCCATGGCACAGCAGGAAACTTGGTGAAAAGGAAGGGCAAGACCAAACAAGTACAGGCATGAGCTGGCATGTGCAGTCTACACATGTCTACATCAGAGAAACTTATGAATCAGAAACATTTTTCAGGTCTAGAGCCCCGGTCTACACAGGAGAACCCCAGGAATAGAAGTGAAGGGCCATGGAGGATGGGGAAGGGTAGCTTCTGGAACCATGGTAATGTGGGGTAAGCATGAGTCCCTCAGAGAAGACAGAGAGCCAAAAGGCCCAAGGCCTCCGAGGGACCAGCCAGATGTTCAGGGGGCAGGAGGAAGGGGCTGGTGAGAAAGAACTTGAGAGAGGAAGCTGCTGTGATTCAGAGAAGAGACTGAGCTGTGAGCAACTCAAGCCTCCGGTTCCTCTCACAGGCCGGAGATTTCGGAAGTGGCATGCAAAGAGCTCAGGTTTGGAGTGGGGGAGAGTTGGGGTTTGAGTCCCTAAGGTTGGGTTAACAGGTAAGCAGCATAAAACTTTGGTGTCTAAATTTGCTCTTCCACCCAGGAGATTTTTTTCTGGTTTTTAAGCACATCACTTCCCCTCTGCAAGAGTTATATAAAACCAGAGCAAAATAAGTCCTGATACGTGGCCCCCAACCTCCCTTTTCAACGTCCCTGCCTGGTGTCTGGCCCCCAGCCCTACAGGGGGTTCCCCTGAGTTGAGGGCTGTTCACTTTCTCTGACCACACGATTTCCGCTTCTGTGTCTCTTATTTCCTAGTCTGATAAAAATACCGAGCCCTAGAGGCCTTGGCTTCCTGTGACCCTCTGGGGCCAGGCAGCAGGCATCCTGTCCACTACAGTGGGGGTAGGGAGGGGACCCAGGGATCCCCAAGGGGTGACTCAGTGCCTACCATGAAACATTGGGGAGGTAGAAGAGTACATTTCTGCTCTCTAGAGCTGGAGCGAGGAATCGGTTCTCATTGGAGGATGCATTGGGTTTCAGTTAGAGAAACACGATTGGGAAGGAGACTGGTGAGGTTGAAGAGGGTCAGTTTAGGGATTGGGGTTGTGGCAGGTCTGGGTTGTTAGGAAAAGGACCCAGAGAGACTCTATTCAGTGCAGTTCAACGAAGCATCAAGTAGTCCAAAGATAAATTCAAGCTTTGCTTCAAGTTTACAGTCCCACAGAGGAGGCAGGTCCATACCCACATGCCTGTGAACCAAGTCATGCTGAGGTTAGAGTGAGGTGCAGTGGATGCAGAAGAGGGGGACGTGGATTTCATCTGAAAGCATCTGAGGAAGGAGAAGGCACTTGAGCTTGCGCTGACCAATGGCAGCATTTCTGAGAGCAGAGGTGGATGGAAGGGCTCTAGGTGAATGAAATGGCTTGAGCTGAGGCTGGGAGTCAGAAAACACAGTATGTTGAGAAAAAGATGTGTTTGCTAAGGTGGACAAAGCAGAAGTGTATGAGCATGTGTTGAAGGAAGGACCACAGAATGCTAAGGTAAGGGATTTGGAACTTCATCCTCTGTGCAGTGGCACTGTGACAGCTATGAAGAGGGAGAACAGGAAAGCACTGAGTGAAGAAGAAAACAACTGTTTTGAACACCTACTGTGTGTCGTCCATGTCAAGCCTCTTTTCTAACATCTAATCCTGCCAACGACTGTCCTAAAGGTAGAGGATGGGTCTCCATTGTATAGATGAGGAAACCAAGGGCATAAATGTCCTGTCCCTTGCTAAAGACCACACAGCTAAAGAGTAATGGAATCAGCATCAGATTCATCTTACTCCAAAACTTGTGAACTTTTTATTTAGGTTCCAATAACTCCAAATGGCATTAAAAGAGGGAACAGATTTCATAAACTTCGAGGGGATAAATCAGGACATGACAACTGATTGGGCAGTGGGACTGAAGTCTCAGATGACTCCAAGTTTTGAGTCTAGGGGACTGGGAAAATGATGATGTTCTAAACCAAGGTGATGCATGGCTGTGGGGAAAGATGAGTTAATTTCAGACATTCAATCAAATTTTTGTTCAGCAGCTGTTAGGAGCAGAGTACTGTGCTAGACAGTAGGTACAAATGAATTAAAGTCACTGCCCTCAGCACTTGCAGTCTAATGAGACAATATATAAGTATACACATAACAACTACATGTAATAATGGGAAGTGCATCTGCGTAGGATAATAAAGTGCTCAGAAAAGGCCTGCTGAATCAGAGGTGCTAACATACCACTCAGGTGGAAATTTCCAGCAAGCAAATGTGAAGCTCAAGAGGAAAGTTTGGGCTAGAGAAAGAGATTTGGGCATCACTCCTCTCACAATGGAAGTTGAGCCTCTGCATGGACAGGATTCCCAAAAGAGGGTGACCGGAAGAGCCCTGAGGATGATCGAAGGAAGAGGAACCAATAAAGGAAAGATGTCAGGGGAGTAGTTAGATAAGTAGGTCAAGGGAGGGGCATGCCAAACAGACTGGGCAGCCACGTCTGATACTTCAAAGAGGTCTAATAGGTGAGGGTTGAAAAGGTCCTTTGTGTTCAGGAACTAGATGATTACAAATTTCGAGAAGACAGTTTCCACTTACCAGAGGGACAGGAATCACTACATAAGCTGAAGAGTGAGTGGGAGGTAAGGAAAGCGAGGTGGTGGGTACAAAGTCATAGAATGGTGACTACGGAAGATAACTAAGAATTGTCTCTAGTTCAACTCACAAATTTTACAAATAAGGAAAATTTTACGAGTTCCCGAAAAAGTAGTTAAGGGAGTTAGTCTCTTGAGACATCACGAAGAAAAGGAAGATGAGAGTAGGAATGAACATTTGAGGAAGAAAGAGGGTCCAGGGAAGGATTTATTTTTGAGAAAAAAAAATTGGATATCTAAAATGAAGGGAGGGCTCATGACATGAAGTGAGAAAGATACCGAAAACTAAAGGGGATACAGAATACAAAGGATCAGGCTTGGACAGGAGGAAGAGTACTCTGAGTGAAGAGGAAAAGAAAGATTAAACAAATTGAAGGGAAAAAACTAAAGAGCTCTGCCTTGGATGGCCTTATGCTCAATAAAATAGATGACAGCATCACTGGCTGAGAGCAAAGAGGTAGCGTGGAAGGTATAAGAAGCATGGAGTCTTAGGAGATCACCTGCAGTGTGACAGAATCAACAAAGAAGGACGAAGAAACATGGAGGGCTCTCTGAGGTTAGACAGGATTAGTAGTAGGCCTCTTCTGTGATATGACTCCTGCAATGCTTGGCAGCCTAGGAGAAAAACTCAAGAATGAGACCATTCAGTTTATCCAAATCAAGTTTTTCAAGGTATTGTTGGTAGAACATCAAGTAAGTGATTCTAATGTTGAAGCACCGAGAGTCCAGAGTGTAAAACTCATATGCATTGGTTTTGAAGTCTCTAAAGATGGTGGTAGGGGATGAGATATGGAAAAAAACTGAGCTAGATATATAAGTTGTTAAGAGTATGATAGAGATGTTGGTAGAGAAGACTGTGCTATGTAGACAGGAAGAGCATGGCAAATGCAAAAGGCGTGGGCTTTGAGAGAGGAGGAGGAGGTTACCAATGATGCAGAGGGAGAGAACAGAATAGTGGCCTCTCCTCTGCCTCCTGCCCCTAGTGATGGGGGTAAAAGAAAGAGCAGACTTCTCCAAAGAGAAAAATCATTAGGAGAAATTCAGGCTTCCAAGTGCCAGAGGAAGATGCTTTCAAAAATTAAATAGAGGATTGGAATATAAGAGGGGTTCCACAGAACATTGTGAAATAGAGCAGTAGAAGTGTCCTTATGGGGTAGGGAATCTAATCCAGGCAGGTTAAATCCCATTGAGAGTTCAGGAGAGGACAACACAGTCTGGAGGTTTTGCTTCTGGAAGCAGGAGGTTGCTGCTTCTGGAATTTAAATTGTAAGATACATAGTGTTTATTATGAAGGGAGACATAAATACCTTAAAGAGGTTTTAGGGGGATGCACAAGATACAGTATCTCCTCCAGTTCCATGGCTTTAAACACCTACTTTATGCTGACAATTCCCAATGTTATCTCTCTAGCTCTGACCTTGCCTCTGAAATCCAGACATATATCCAACTGCCAAGTGACATCTCCACTTGGATGTCTGTCCAATAGATTAAGACTTAACATATCCAAAATTCAACTTCTGGTTTTTCCACTGAGTGAAGTCTCTCACAGTCTCCTCATCTGCTACCCTCACCCCACCGTCCATCCAATCCATCATCTAGCCCTGTCAATTCTACCCCTGAAATATATTCCAAATTTGTCTACTTCTCTCCATCTTCATGGCCACCACCATCTTCTCTCCAGGATAGTAGCAATTACCTCTTAACTGGTGTCCTTGCTCTCGATTTTGCCTCCTAAAATCTAGTCTAAACACAGGAGCCACAGCGATCTTTCAAAAACATAAATCTAATCACCTCTGCTCTCCACCTCCTTCCCTCCCTACCCCCCCCCACACACACACATGCAGACATACACATATGCACACACTCACTGACACCCTCCGAAGCTTCCCATGGTTGAATAAAACCCAGATGCTTTACCCCTCCTTGTATGGCCCTGTGTAATCTGGCCCCTGCTCTCCTCTCTGACCTCATCTCCCACCCCTCTCCCACTCTTTCTGCTCCAGCCACACTGGCTCTTTTCTGTTCCTCATCACCCCTAGTGTCCACCTTCTGGCCTTCACAGTAGCTATTCCCTTTGCCTGGAATGCTTCTCCTCCAAATCTTCACCTGGTTACTCTTGTCATTTGAGTCTTAGCTTAAATGCCACTTACTCAGGACTTTCCACTGTATCTTAAGTAGTTCCCTGCCACTCTTTTCACAGCCTTGTCTTACTTCCTCACAGCACTACTCATTGATTTCTTCTTCAGTGTATTTCTTTTTCACCTTGCCTTACTAGGATGCACGCTCCATGAGTGCCAGGACCTTGCCTGACTTGTTTGCCACTATATCCCTCTTGCCCAGAACAGTGCCCAGCACGCAGAAGGCACTCAATAAAGACTTATTAAATAGAGGGATAGATGAATAATGGAGTAAAACTGGATGAAGCTCAACTTTAGGTTTGTGGTTCAGACTGGACTTGCACTCAGAGTCAGGTTTAACTTTAGGGTTAAGAATGGCAATCGGTTGGTTTCAAGATTAGCTTCTGAAACAGGATTGGGTTAGTTTAGACGATAAGTTTATTCTTCGGGATGTGTTTAGATTTGACGTTAGGGTTGAGTTTGAGTTGTGATTTCGGTTGAGGTTAAATCTGGGTTAGGGTCAAGGTTGGTATTAAATCCCAATTTTGGTTTTGAGGCTAAGTCCAGGTTTGAGGCTAATGTCATTTCAGCCTCATTGGAGGCCTCAGAGATTTCACTGGTTTCTCCACAGATACCACTGCAGACACTGTATTTCCCTGAGTTTGGGGCACAAGACTCCATCACCACTCCCACTCAGGGAAAGCCCCAAACCAACTGCTGGCCACCCCAAGAAAGAAACTGAATTTCACACAACCTCTGAAACTGAGATCGAAACCAAGATTGGCCCATCTCAAGGAGCATCCTTCAGCACATCACAAACACCCGTGACATCGAGCTTCAGCCTAGTTCTTGCCCTTCCTTCCTCTCTGTCTCTCATGTCTCCCCATTCACTCCTTCTCATCTTCCTCTTTTTGTCCCTTAATGCCCCAGTCTTTCTCTCTGACCTAAGTTTATCACTTTCTCTGTTTCTCACTGTTAATTGCAACACCTTTGTATATTTTTATATAGCTGAGGTCTCTGTCAATCAACTCCTACCATTAGAGAGGCAGAAAGAGACAATAGGAAGGAAAAAGGACCCCCAGAGAAAGAGGGACACTGAGAAAACGAAAGGAGCAGGAACCAAGAGGGAAACCAACAGTGACAGAAGAGACAATGAGGTTAAAAGAATAATAAGCCAAGATACAGACCAAGATATTTAAAAGAGTCATCTGTGACTACTCTTCTTCCTCTATCACATCCGGTCAGCCACCAAGACCTGTAGATTTTGCCTAGAAAGTCCTTTCCATTCTCCTGCTGCTGCCTCAGTATAAATGCAGACTCTTGTCACCTACTTCCAGGATGTTGAGAAACCCTCCTAACTGGCCTCCACACTTCTGGTTCCTTTTCTAGCTCCCAACTCCCATTCCCCAATCCATTCTTCTTATAGCTGCCAGACTAATTTTCCTAATATACCAATCTAGGTAGGGCCCTCTCTCACTTAAAATTTTTGGTGGCTCCCCGTTATAATTAGAAATCCAAAGTTCTCTTGGTTTCAAACCTTCAGGATATGTTCTCAGTTTACCTCCCAAGCTTCATCTCTTTTTCCATCTATTTGTACCCAGTTGCACATCTTGGCACACTTCATACTATCTTTCACTTCCAGTCTTTGCATATACTGTTCCTCCATTTGGATTGCTCACCACCATCTTTGCCTCAATATTTAAGGCCTGAATCATCTCTCCCCCAAGTTTGATGGCTTTTCTATGGGCTGCCATAAGCCCATTGTCATGAAACTTATCACACTTTATTGTAATTATCTGTTAACTTTTCAATCTCCCACACTGGTCTTTGAGCTCCCTGAAAGCAGGAGACTGTCTTTCACATCCATATCCTCAAGGCCTTGTAAAAGGTGCTCAATAAATGTTTGTGGAATAGAGAGAAAGTTAAGAAGTGGAATGAGAATAAAAAGAAATAATAGATAAAAATAGTAAGACACGAAAGGTAAAGTGCAGGGGGAGGAAAACAGGAGAAATAGCTCATACACACCCTGAATGCTACTTATGAGCCACAGGACACCAAGACCCCTCAGGGACTTTGTGACAGAGGAGAGCGGCAATGTGCCCAATGCCAAAAGGGGTGGGATTCAGCCTCCATCACCATCCTGAGCACCAGTCCCTCCAAAACCCTCAAAATGAAAGCATAACATTAGTGAGAGTAATAATTGTTTTCTCAATCTTATGAAACAGGAATAAAAATGTCTATGAAAACCTCGTTGTTGTTTTTTAACCTACAACTTACAAGCTAAGTGAAAACTGGCTCATGGTCAAGAATATTCATATCAATGTTTTTTGTGTTAGTCAAAAACTAGAAACAAACCAAATGCCCATCAACAGAAGAATAGAGTATATTCACTCAATAGAATATTACATCGCAATGAAAAATCCCCACTACAAATACATGCAACCATACTGATGACTTTCACAAACACAATGTTGCATGAAAGAAGCCAAACACAAATAAATACATTCTGTATGATTCCATTTATTTGAAGTTCAAAAGCAGGAAACACTAATCTATGGTGATAGAGGTCAGAAAGTACTTGGTTATCTTTGGAAGGTATCAACTGGGATGGGGCATGAGAGAACCTTCTGGGGATCTGAAAATGTGTTGAACTGTGTAGTGGCTACATGGCTATAAACAGACGGCAAAGTTCATCAGGCTGTTCTCTTAGATGTACACCTCACTATATCTAAGTCACACAGCAAAATGGGGTAGAAATTTTTAATGATTTTAAAACAGTGTATTGGCTCTATAAAAGCAGCTTCAAGACAAGTGGCTTAGCTGCCACATTCCTTGATCCTAGAATGTGTTTTTTGGGGGTTATGTAAATCTGATGTGTGGGGGGCCACTTAAGATCCGGATGAGGTGGAGGGCATCCTTCAGGAGTGAGATGCAACCCCATCATACGTGAGTGCATGGCATCTCTCTGGATAAGGGGACTATAACACATCTTCCAAACCAGGACACTTTTAAAGGGGGCTCCATGAATATTTTCACCAGGACAACACACATAAGCCATGATGTTCCAGGCAAGAGAGTATACAGTGAAACCTCTTGATATGAAACCTGCCAGACATCCTGGAAAGTACACATATTGAGACAAGCGTGACTTGAGCCAGTTGGGACAAGGACGGGGTATAAGAGGACAAAATAGGCACAGAGAGAAGCCTGTAATCAGCCAAGGGTGCTGAGGTGTTACATGTAATCACTCTTCAGGGAACCAGGCTTCCAGCTCACACCCCAGTTGCTCCCCCTCCATCTCCCCCGAATTTACTGTCTCTTATTTGGAACTCCTAAGCCTGACCCCACTCTCTAGCCCTCCCAGTCCACAATTCCCCTGACCCCACTCCCTTTCCCAGAACTCAGTCATCTGAGCCCCCAGCCTGCGGTTCTCTCCTAGGCCTCAGCCTTTCCTGCCTTCATCTGAAACAGCAGCATCTTCTAAGCCCTGGGGGCTTCCCCGGGCCCCAGCATCGGCCTAGAACCCGCCCGCTGCCTGCCACACTGCCGCTGCCGCTTCCTCTATAAAAGGACCCAGGCGTCCGGGCCCAGGGGCCCCGCACAGCAGGTGAGACTTTCCCGCCCCATCTCCTTGGGTTGCCCCGGTGCTGGATTCCCTCCCTGATCTTTCAGCCCCCCGCCTGGCCCGGCCCCACCTGCACCTCCTGCCTGGGCCTGGGCCTTGCTGGGTTTGGTTTTGGTTTGTTCCCCTCTCTCTGACTCTCCATCTATCAGCCTCTTTCTCTCTGTCTCTGTCACATGCCCTCTGTTTCTGCTGTGATTCCTCTTTGATCCCTCTCTGTTTCCCTCCTGTCTCTGTTTCTCTTTCTGTCTCCCCCTGTTCATCTCGGAGTTTCCCTGACTGCATCTTGTCCCATTCTCTGTCTGTCACCCTGTCTCTTTCCTGTGGCTATCTCCTCAGGCAGGAGGCCTGTCTTCTGCAGCGGGCTGCCCTGCCCTCCTGCTCACTGTCTCTCTCCCCACAGGTTCTCCCCATGACACCACCTGGATATCTCTACCTCGTGAGGGTATGTGGCGCCCCCCTCCTCCTTCTCCTTCTGGGGCTGCTGCTGGCCCTGCCTCCTGAGGCCCAGGTGAGGCAGCAGGAGAATGAGGTCTGTGGGGACGGCCTAGCCAAACCATGGGCCCTAGAGCCCTCCTCAATTCTGTTCTCCCCTAGGGGCTCCCTGGTGTTGGTCTCTCACCCTCAATTGCCCGGACTGTCCATCAGCACCCCCAGAATCACTTCGCACAAGGCACCTTCAAACCTGCCGCTCACCTTGTTGGTAAACATCTGCCTGCCCTTCCAGATGTATGACCCAAGCCCGCCTCCTACCCTGCTTCAGGGACCCAAGCATCTGTGTACCCTATCTCTACCCCAACTTTCCCCAACCCCAAAACAGAGGCTCCTACCCCCTTCTGCCCTCCCAATCATCCCCCAGGAACTCAGTCCAGCATCTACTTCTTCAGGGATTGAGACTTCTGACCCCCAAATCCTTAACCCCAAAACCCCTTATGGCTCTTCCTAGGAGACCCCAGCACTCAGAACTCGTTGCGCTGGAGAGCGAACACAGATCGTGCCTTCCTCCGCCATGGCTTCTCTTTGAACAACAATTCCCTCCTGGTCCCCACCAGTGGCCTCTACTTCGTCTACTCCCAGGTGGTCTTCTCCGGGGAAGGTTGCTTTCCCAAGGCCACCCCCACCCCTCTCTACCTGGCCCATGAGGTCCAGCTCTTCTCCTCCCAGTATCCCTTCCACGTGTCTCTCCTCAGTGCTCAGAAGTCTGTGTGCCCAGGACCACAGGGACCTTGGGTGCGCTCAGTGTACCAGGGGGCTGTGTTCCTGCTCACCCAGGGAGACCAGCTATCCACTCATACAGACGGCATCTCCCATCTACTCCTCAGTCCCAGTACTGTCTTCTTTGGAGCCTTTGCTCTATAGAAAAATCCAGAAAGAACGAATTGGTTTCAAGGCCTTCTCTCATTTTGCCTCCATCCTGATCATTTCAAGGGTCACCACACCTCTCCTTCGACCATTCCAACACTCTCAAGTCTTCCCCACTCATATCAGCCAGCACTTCCAAAAGAGGAATCCTAAGCACCCCAGGGGACCCACCTCCCTAAACCACCCTGGATGATCAGCTGAGGATTTCAAGCCTGCTAAAGACTCCCGTCCAGAGTACTTCCTCTGTGCTGCCGGTCCAGGGGGGCCTAGCCCTGGATATGGAGGGGGAGCAGACACATCGGGGAGCTTGGGTGGATGACTTAAGGCAGGGAGGGGGAATTATTTATGAAGGAAAAAAATTAAATTATTTATTTATGGAGGATGGAGAGAAAGGAATCGTGGAGAAATATCAGAAGAGAGAGATAAATGTGCCCAAAAGATGAAAATGAGAGGGCATCGGTACAAGGATGACCTAGTGAGAGAGAAAACTAGTGATTCTGAGGGACCAAGGGGCTCTAGAAGGAAGTGAAAGGCTCTGAAGAGCCAACCACTGCTTGACTAGACACCCCATGAGGTAGTATCTGCACCCTTGATGAAGCCCAATAAACTATTTTTCTCTGAGATGCTGTCTGCCTGTGTCTGTGTGTCTGGGAGGGGAGAATTTCCTAAGTCGCTCTAAGGAATGGAGGGGAGGACAGAGGCCTCAGAAGGGATGGGAGCTGTGGGAGTACAAAGAGATCTAGGGGCTTAGAGAGCTCTGGGAAAATGTGGCTGACTCACGGGGTCAAGGGAGCCAGGCTGCTTTGGGGGAACCAAAGGGTAAGCTCAGAAGAAATGCAGGTCCAAGTTCTGGAGGGATGGAGGTCAGGGAACCCCTGGCAGATATGACCACATATAGAGGCTCTGAGTAATGGGGGTTATAGGAAGCCTCTAAAGAGAATTGAACACACCAAAGGGTATTCAGGACTATGGGAATGGAGAACGGGGGTCCTCTGGAAGACATGGCCGTGCAAGGGCCCTGAGGAGTGGGAGAGCATCCAAGGCTAGGGGGCAGGGAAATACAGGGAACATTGAGGAGGCATGGTTACACACAGGGGCTCTGAAGGCTAGGGCTGTCTCCAGGAATCTAAAGGGAACAGGAGTTCTTGGGGGATACATGGCCACACACGGAGGCTCTGAGGGGTGGGGGCTTCATGCAAAAATCAGGGCCTCAGATTCCTTTGGAAGCCAAGACTGAAACCAGTCCTGTGAGTCCCAGTCAGAATGAAAGGAGAAGGCCTGCCCTGGTGGGGTTCATGAATTCCCAGGGTTGCTTTCAAGCCCTCTGGGACTGTCCCAGGTTTGTCCCAGGTTTGTCCCTGCTATCACTCACTGGCCCCCCAAGTCCTTCCAGAGGTCCCATCCACTCCCTTAGCATCAAGCTCCCCTCCCCGCAGCTCTTTCTTCCCCAAAGGACCCAAACACATGTCTCAGGACCCAGCACAGCTTCCCCCAATTGTCTCCCCATCAAGGACTCAGCTTTCTGAAGCCCCAACCATTTCTAGTTCTGCCCCTGTGTGAGTCCTGCCTGGAAATCAGAAGGACACAGGCCACAGACCTGGTCCCCAAAAGGAATGGAGACAGTGGGAATTGCGGGGGCAAGGGGAACTGGTGTCTAGCCTTCAGGATTCTAAAGTCACAGGAGTAACTGGCCCAGCAACCCTCCCACCCACCCACCCCCCACCAGAATCTGAGCAGGGGGGTGGGAAGAGGATTCTAAAGTCACAGGAGTAACTGGCCCAGCAACCCTCCCACCCACCCACCCCCCACCAGAATCTGAGCAGGGAGGGTGGGAAGTATCCTTGATGCCTGGGTGTCCCCAAGTTTCCAAACCCCCACCCCCGTGATGGAGAAGAAACCAAGACAGAGGTGTAGGGCCCACTACCGCTTCCTCCAGATGAGCTCATGGGTTTCTCCACCAAGGAAGTTTTCCGCTGGTTGAATGAGAGCCTTTCCCCGCCCTCCTCTCCCCAGGCGTATAAATGCAGCTGTTTGCAGAGCCAGCCAGCAGAAGCTTCCTCAGCGAGGACACCAGGGGACCAGCCAGGAGAGAGAGAAGCAACTCCAGACCCCCCTGGAAATAATCTCTCAGACGACACAGACCCGGAGAAGCAGGCGATTCTCTTCCCTCTGACACACACTGCCCCAGGGCTCCACCATTTCCCAGCTGGACTTGAGCCCCTCTGGAAAGGACACCATGAGCACTGAAAGCATGATCCGGGATGTGGAGCTGGCTGAGGAGGAACTCCCCAAGAAGGCAGGGGGGCCCCAGGCCTCCAGACGGTGCCTGTGCCTCAGCCTCTTCTCCTTCCTCCTCGTGGCAGGAGCCACCATGCTCTTCTGCCTGCTGCACTTCGGAGTGATTGGCCCCCAGAGAGAAGAGGTGAGTTTCTCGCCAGCCTTGGTTCCTTCTTCTACCCAGGGAGAAATGGGGGAGAGAGAGGGTGAGAAATGGTGTTGGGAAAAGAGGTGTGCTGATGGGGATGGTTAGGGAGGAAAAACGTGGAGAAAGATGGGGAGGCAGAAAGAGATGTGGAGAGAGATCAGGGAAGAGAGAGAAGGATGGAGAGAGAGTGTGTCTGTCACATGGAAAGTGCTCCCTAAACAGTTGCTGAATGAATGAATGAGCAAGCAGATAAATAAATAAAGAGAGATATAGAGAGATGTGGAATGTAGGTAGAGAGCTGGGGGGAAATGAGAATGAATAAAGATGATGAAACACAGAGATACGGAAAGATGCAGATAGGATATCTGGCATGTGGAAGGCACTCAATGAAATGATGGATCAATGAATGAATGAATGAATGAATGAATGAATGAATGAATGAAGAGAGAGAACGGGACACATCGGGCAGAGAGTACAAACTGGATAAGCTGCCAGACTGTTTCTCCTTTAGAAATGACTTGCTCTTCTTCTCCTTCTTCTCCCCAACAGTTCCCGACTGGCCTCCCACTAATCAAACCTCTGGCCCAGACTCTTGGTACGTGTCTCTGAAGCCTCTCTCCTACTTCTGGGTTTGGGTATAATGGGGGTTAGTCCTCAGATGGCAGTGGGGGAAATTTAGAGTTGGGGTTTGGGGCGATGAGAAATGGAGGTCAAAGTAGCAGGATATTTTCTGTGAAGCTTAAGGGTCTCACCTTTTTCTTTTCTCTTTCTTCCTCAGGATTATCTTCTCGAACCCCAAGTGACAAGCCTGTCGCCCATGTTGTAGGTAAGAGTTCTGAGGATGTATGTGGGGGATGAAGAAGCAGATGTGCTGTGGAGGAATAGGATTTTGGGGCTGAACCCAGGCTGAGGGTAGACAGACCTTGGAGGCAGGGTGAGAAGAACTCTCTGAACTCAAGGGGAGGGTAAAGGAATAGCACAGGCCTTGAGGGGAATACTCAGAATCTCATGGCCAGAAGGGACATGAGAAGACAGACAGAGGGCACAGGAGCTGGATATGGGGGGTGGGCAGAATTTGAAGTCCAAGATGTGGAGAGTGGCTCGGGGTCACTCTGACTCACCTCTCCCTCATTCTCTCCTTCCCTCCTTGCCTCTAGCAAACCCCCAAGCCGAGGGACAGCTCCAGTGGCTGAGCCAGCGTGCCAATGCTCTCCTGGCCAATGGCATGAAGCTGACAGACAACCAGCTGGTGGTGCCATTAGATGGGCTGTACCTCATCTACTCCCAGGTCCTCTTCAAAGGTCAAGGCTGCCCTCAAACCCATGTACTCCTCACCCACACCATCAGCCGCTTCGCTGACTCCTACCAGACCAAGGTCAACCTCCTCTCTGCCATCAAGAGCCCTTGCCAGAGGGAAACCCAAGAGGGGGCTGCGGCCAAGCCCTGGTATGAGCCCATCTACCTGGGAGGAGTCTTCCAGCTAGAGAAGGGTGATCGACTCAGTGCCGAGATCAACCTGCCTGACTATCTTGACTTTGCTGAGTCTGGGCAGGTCTACTTTGGGATCATTGCCTTGTGAGGGAGCAGAATGTCCATCCCCATCCACCTCAGTCCCTTTATTATCCACAACTTCAGACCCCCTCAACCTCTTCTAGTTTAGAAAGGGAATTAGAGGCTCAAGGCCAGGCCCCAAGCTTAGAACTTTAAACAATACTTAGAAACCTAGGGTGTATGGAGGTGGCCTGGACGATGGGGCACTGGCAACTACCAAGCATTCAAACTGGGGCTTCCAGAATGCAATGGAGGCCTCAGGTTTGGATCCCTAAGTGCAACCTGGGACACCTGGAATGTGATGGCCAGGGAAACTTTAGTTCTGGCCAGAACACTTTGGGACACCCTTGAGCAGATCCTACTTAGAACTTGACATGACTGCACCTCACGCCTCCCTTTGTTCCAGACTCTTCTCTGGAAACCCTCCCCCACAGGGCTAGCTCCCTTTATTTATGTTTGCACTTGTGATTATTTATTATTTATTTATTATTTATTTATTTACTGATGAAAGTATTTATTTGGAAGGTCGGGTGTCCTGGGAGACCCAACTCAGGGGCTGCCTTGTCTCAGACATGTTTTCTGTGAAAACGGAGCTGAACTCTAGGCTATTCCCACCCGGCCTCCTGGCCTCTGTGCCTCCTTTTGCTTATGTTTTTAAAAAATATTTATCTGATCAAGTTGTCTAAATAATGATTTGGTGACTGACTGTCACTACATCGCTAAACCTCTGCTCCCCAGGGGAGTTGTGTCTGTAACCGCCCTACTGGTCAGTGGCGAGAAATAAAGTGTGCTTAGGAAAGAAACATGGTCTCTTTCTTGGAATTAATTCTGCATCGACCTCTCCTTGGGGGTGGGAGGCCACCCCCTAACGTCCTCTCTCTACAGGGTTTAAGATGCCTGGATCCAGTCCCCACTCCTTGGACTGCTGGGGCTTGGAAGACCCTACAAAAAACAAAGCCCAGTTGAATATGCCCCTCCCCCAGGAAACTGAAGCCTGAACCTAATTATCTCTCCCTCAGGGCATGGGAATTTCCAACTCTGGGAATTCCAATCCCACCAGGGGAAGTCCTGGCAGCTCAGGTGTTCAGGTGAAATTTCCGGCTGTCGTGGCCTGTGAGAGAGAGTCGGGGAGGAGCCACATTCTCTGGCATCTGAATCACAGCCAAGGGATTTCCAGACATTCAGGCATCTAGACTCCAAATCTCTTGATCCAGCTACCCCCCAGCCAACCCTATTCTGACACTGCAACCTAAACCAGTCACTGAACCTCCTCTACCAGATGGAGATAGGAATGCCCACTGCAAATGGGGCCACAAGAGAATGGAAGACATAAGCTACCTCAGAGCACCTAGCATAGCACTTGGCATGGTAGGCACTCAGTGAATTCTGGCTTTTTTCCATCATCCAGCCCCCAGCCATTCTTTTCCCTTCCATCTCTCAGTGGGTGGAATTGAAGAGAAGAAAGAAAATTAAAAACTAGGAATAAGATGTAGGTGAAGGGTCCACATGTGAGCTTGGTCTCACTGATTTTCTTGGTGAATGGTGAAGGGGTGGGATGTGAGATGCATGAATTGGAAAGAGAAAAGCACCCCCTCCTCCAAGGAGGCTCTTCTGGACACAGAGTCAAACACAAATATGAAGTCGGAAATGAATATCCAGAGAATGTGAGTGCCCCCACTGGGCTCAGAAGTTGGGCTTTCTTCCCTGCTAGTGTTGCCAATGAGGAATAGAGTGAAAAAAGTCAAGCTGCTAAGTTACTAAAACAAGGTATGAGGGAACAATTCTATTTTTGTTTTACTAGCCTAGAAACTTAAACTTTTGGACTATACAGTCCTGTGTTAATGTCTAGATATTCATTAAACCTCCAGATAACTTTCTGATTACCCCCTAAAGGACTATGAAAGAATGTTCACATATCCAGACCACCTGGCATCTCGAGGATTACTATCTTGGACCAATCCAGAGGCTAAGGATGCATAACTGATTCTTCTCAAGAATATACTTTTTACTATAAGAACTCTCAGGTTTTCTTTCTTCCTTAGAACACTCTGGGTATTGCCTACTGGTGTTTCCAGTTTGAAAACCCTAAGACCTTTGAATAAATCTTTATCATTTATTACTAGCCAAAGTCTCCTGATACATTAACACTCAATCAACGTTAATAGTGGCAGCAATGGGACCCAAAGACAGTTTTGCTTTAATTCTGGTGCCACCACTGGTTTCAGAGAAGGTACTGCTTGAGCTCTTTGCGCTCTGTCATTACAACCCAGGATTCCAGCGGTGAGGTCTCTCGGTTCTGAACACCACTCATTGAGTGACGTTCAGAGCTTTCATTCTTGGTTCCTCTGATACCAATTTTTATAATGGGACATCCTCTGTCTAAATCTGCTACAGAAGAACAACCCTTATCTGTACACCAGCTGGATTTATGTTCAAAACTTATGGTTCATTGTCTATTAAGTTTTATGTTTTTGTTTGTTTGTTTGTTTGTTTGTTTTTTACCGCCTACAGCTCCTAATTTTCCTAGGTGGCCTCCCATCCAAGTACTAACCAGGCCCAACCCTGCTTAGCTTCCGAGATCAGACGAGATCAGGCACATTCAGGGAGGCATGGCCATAGAATCTATTAAGTTTTTACCCCAATGGACCTCAGATACAAAAGATAACTTAGAACTGCTGCGACCACTTTAGGAATCTTTCGAAATTCCAAAATTAATGAATTCGCATGCACAATTGGAAAATCTTAAAAACGTTAAGCTGAATGAGAAGTATTTTTCAAGTGGTATTTAGAGGTCTCTAAGAAATTAAATAATTCAAAGATAGCCTTAACATCTCTTTTGTCTTTTTGTTCAGCTGTGACAGCTTTCGGGGAAATTTATCTTTAACATGGGGCCTTTTAAAAAGTTTCCAAAAAGTTCCTTCCTCAAGAACTCCAGCTATATATACACAAACATTTTGGTACTTCCTTCTTGTGCCTTTTTGGCGCAAAAGACACCAACTTAGCCAAAATAATTTAAAACTTTAATGGCAATCAAAGGAAAGCTTTGTTTCAAGTCTATCTCAGGGGTCCTCCCTTAAGGATAGAATTCCAAATCTCTTAGGGATATTGGAATACATTCTTTGATATGCAGAAACTTCTAAAAGACAAATTGACTTTAAAAACAGCTCTAAAAGGATTCTAAGGGAAACTTTAGCCATCTGAGCAGGTGCTTTAAAATTTCTTACTGTTTATTCCCCCAGAAAGCTGAAATTAAAGAATTTAATAACTCTATGATATGAAATTTGACAAAATAGGAAACTAAAGGTTCATAGCCTGATGGGACTTTTTAAAAAGCCTTCTCTCCAAAATAAAATATGTACCCAAAGGGAAAGAAGCAAATTAAGAATGATGTAGTTGGATGGGCAGATCAACTTATGATGTCACTTAAGTTATAACCCAATTCCTTGGGGAATTGAGAGCAACTCCATATCTTACAAATCTTTGTGGAGCCAGAAATGCAGCTCTAGAAGCAGTGCAGTGCCCACCTATCTTTACCATCCTCAATTCTTAAGACTGAAGGGGAAAAAATGGAAATGAGAGTTTTTTCAAAAGCACAAACTTCTACTCTGGCTCCAAGGCTTTTTGCCAAGGACAAATACAAATCTTAATGGTCTTATCCACAAATATTAATAAAAAACAGAACTTTAGCCATCTGAATGAATAAACTTAACTTATTCCAATTGTTATAAATAAATTAGTGGGGTTTTGCCTTATTGTACTGTCTCCTGGCTGAAATTTTAAAAACGAAACTATCAGGTCTCCATTTGCATTTCTCTGTATGTTCATGTTTGTTGCGTGGTATTTTCTACCTTTGGATGATATTGCTAATTTGGAAAAAAAGCTCTGTTTAATTGGCTTAAAGGAATTAAGCGCTTACATTAAAATTCTCAAAAATGTAATAGAAACTAACTCAGATATTTTTTCAGGATCACATGATCTGGGAAAAATATTTGATATTAAAGCTAGTTTAAGTTTGGTTTAAATGGCATATCTTTAGAGTTATCAGAATTATGTTTAATACTTTTATTCTACCTGGGATTATTAGCCAAATAAATTCATGCTATTTCTATTGAGAAATTTGTCAGCAAGAAAAATAACTTAGTATAATAAAATTATTATTATATAATAAAATGTTCATAGGAAACCTAAACATAATTATTGAGAACATGTAAAATAAATAGGTATAGATGAGTAAAAAGTTTTAAGGTGAACTTTTCTGCAATATTTGTTTTTTATGGTATGTGTACTCGGTTTCTCAAACTTTTTTGCTAACTCGAAACCTTAGAGTTTTGCCAAGTTAAGTTAAATAATGAGTCAAGTTAAATTCATTGAATATCTAGATCATTTCCAAATAAGGTAAAATACTGAAACAATTGTCATTAAATAAGTCTATTTAGTTTGGACTTATTAAAGAGAAACTAAAAGATAAATTTGGATCTGTAAATGAATGTTTCATACTTTATTGAGAAAGCATATGTTTCTAAAAATTATGAAATATATTGCCAGTAAAAGTACCTATGTTTCTAGAGGTTATAAAATGTATTTATAGATTTACCAATGTAATTCATAGATAGCCAATCTAAAAGATGCTTATTGCTTACTTTTTTAGTAGAAAAATTAAGGTTTCTAAGGGTTAAGAATTCTAATTAATATGAAAGGAAATAATGTTTTCAGTAAAAGAAGATATAAGGTATGAAAATGAATTTTTGAGGAAATTAAAAGAAAATGGTTTGTCCTTAAATAAGTGGGTTATTTCCTGATTGAGTAAGAGACAGACTAAGAGGGACAAGGAAAGTTGTAAAAGGTTTGTGAAAAAGGAATCTTCAGAAAGAAATTTAATATGTAGTCAAGCTAAATAAGATTAAAATGAATTTAATTAAGTAAATGAATTTAAATATCAAAAGTAAGCTGATACAAAATTAGAATTTAGTTTTCTCTCTGTTAAAAAGAAAATTTTTTCTGTACTTTTGGTATGCTCTTTATAAGAGATTATAAAGGGAAAGCAAAGATCTCGTGTTGTACTAAAATTATTTCCTGTCCTCTGCATCATCAGGTCTTTGAATGCTTAGATAAACAGTCTTCTTAATATTAAGAGTTAAATTTTGCTTACAACTATTTAACTTTCTATATTTGCCTACAAAGGCTTTAATTATCAGCATGATTAAATAGATAAGTATTTTTTCTCAGTGACCTATGTTCCTATTTGACCAATTGTTTTAAGACTTTTGATATGTTTGACAAACATCCCAAAATTCAAAAATTTGTCTTTTTTTTAACCAAAAAATAACTTTGAGATTTTTTTTTAAAATCCCTGAAATATTTCAAAGGACATCTCTCATTCTCTTTTTATTATAAAAGGGGAAAAATAAACTAATTGAGCTTATTTGAGATGCAAAATTGCATGGGAAGCATTGTCAAATAAGAAATAATAATTATGTTATACTTGTAGGAATAAATTATTATTATTAAAATAAATGTTCTAAAAGTTATATTAAAATTCTAAGAATCTATGATGTCTTGAGATAATGTTCTCATTTGCAATTCTAGCTATTTTAAAATGTGTGTTGCAGAGGAGAAAAAAACGGTGTAGATGATAGAGGCTCTGTTCATCCCTCCCGCAACCGAATCAAAGCTGTGATGGAAACAAGGAGCAGCAGCAAGGAAAAATCACATGGGATCTAGATGAACAAGCCATACAACTAGGGGAAAAAATCCAAAAAATCACCCTGTGGCAGCAGAAGGTAGAATGGGGCAAGGATGTGGGGCTGCCCTGTCTCCAGCGGCTGAAACGGAGGCTGCGGCAGCGGCAGATGCCTCTTAAAGGAGCCACATCTGTGAGCGTATTTTCACGGTGACAGACCTGCTCACTCTGGGCACCAGTGCTGATTTGGCTGTGCGCAGGGGGCACCAGGGACTTAAAAAGAGACATTGTCAGAGTGAAGGTCTAGACTTATGTACTCGCATGGTACATAAGTGCCAGCGGTATCCATTGTTCCCTGTTGAGCCCTCCCACCTACCAGTGCTCCGGACACAGCACCACCATAGCTGAGAGGTCATCGAACTGGATAACAGAGGTTGCTCAGCCCAGAGGATTCCCTGAAACTCCATCTCCCCCAACTCGTGGCCCCACCCAAGCCACATCCAGGTATATTCTCAGCAGGTCAGGCACTCCTTGCTGAACAGCTCCTAGACTCACACTGGAGGCAGCTGGCCTTGGTTTCTGGTATGGCCTTTTGAGGCAACTATAAGCATGGTGGATTGCTTGCTGAATCTTAACAGGTGGCCCCGGAGGGATAGAGGCTTGGGCTAAATCTGGCCTGCAGCTGAACCCCTCTCTGGACTGTGCCACTGGACACCTACTACACAAATCCACACTAATAAGACCAGGAGACTTAGGAGCTTTGCTTAGTACATAGAAACAGACACAGAAAGGCACCCAAAATGAGAAGACAAAGGAGCAGAAACCATGTGACAGAACAGAACAGAGCTCAAGATATAATGGAGTCCAGCAATCTCACAGATGCAGAATTAAAA